TTTTTATATGCATCAGGATCTCTTTCTTCAAACGTAGTATTTTTCTTTACAGAGTTTAAAATTTCAGCAAAATTAGTTGATCTACAATTCCACTGGTTTTTAATCAAAGTTATAGTTATGTGATATACAGTCTCCATACTTCTGGGAGTTTGGCCAGCATATCAATGTCTAAAGATGCCAGACATAACTGGTCAGTTTGCAAGAACTTGATCTGTCCACTTGAACAACAAATCTGAGTTTTAGGGTCACTATACGAAGAGTAAGCCTTCATGGGAAGTTAAACACATATGTAAACTTTCCAGGGTCTTTGTAAAATAGTTGAGGTCAAATTCAAGAGGATTTTTTTTTTTAATTTAAGATTTTAATTGCAAATCAGAGCAGCATCTGCTGACCAAATCCACAAATGTGTTTTTCTCATCATAGTCTAAGTAATTTCTTATTATTTTATGCCATTTGTTTAATAGCCTAGATGAAAATCTGAGCTCAGAGATAACATAGTAAGTTACGTTTCAAGGACAAATTAAAAATTGGGGGAAAAATACAGTTGGCTCTCTGTGGCCATGCGTTAAGCATGCAAAGATCACAAATATTAAAGCAATAACAGTAAAAAAATAAAAAAGCGGCCAGGTGCAGTGGCTCATGCCTATAATCCCAACACTTTGGGAGGCTTAGGTGAGAGGATTGCCTGAGCCCACAGGTTTGAGACTAGCCTGGGCAACTTGAAAAGATCTCATCTCTACAATAAGTCAAAAAAATGTAACTGGGCATGGTGGGTGTGTGTCTGTAGTTCCAGCTACTTAGAAGGCTGAGGGCAGAAGGATCACCTGAGCCCAGCAGGTCGAGGTTGCGGTGGCCGAGAGCGTGCCATTGCACTCCAGCCTGGGCAATAGAGTGAGACGCCAACTCAAAAAAATAAAATAAAATAAAATAAAAATAAAAATTAAAAAGCAATACAGTATAATTACATAGTATTTATGTTACATTAGGTATTATAAGTAATCTAGAGATGATTTAAAGTATAAGGGAGGACGTATATAGGTTATATGTAAATACAACTCAATTTTAAGTAAGGAACTTTAACATCCATGCATTTTGGTATCCTTGAGGTTGGGGGGGAGCCAATCCTTGTGAACTAAGAGAAAACTGTATTTCTAAATGTGGGTGTACATGAATATGCATGATTTATTTCTCCATATTCTCCTAATGGAAATCTATAAAATTACACTTATTCTGGTCTCTTATAAAAATGAACACACCATTCTTTAAGGAAAAAAGCAGCTGCAAACAGCATTTTGATGATAAATATATGGATTACAAGACATGAGGACAAGAAAAAAGAGGAAGAAAAAGGTTGATACTCAGGGAGTCCAGCACCCTCCACCCCATCCCCCATGATCCCATCTCAATGTATTCTATACTAAAATCATACTGTTCAAAATAAAAACTTAAAAGAAGCCTATGACTACAAAAGGAGCTTGCAATTATCATACTGAACTCCACAAAATGAATGCCACCTGAAATGTATTTGTGAATCATATTTGAAAATAAATGTTTTAATTTAAGGAGACTTTCTCATCTTGCTGGAAATGGTATCACCATAATATAATAATGAAATGCCTCCTCTATAAAACACACCTTGATTTTGGAAAATAAACTAATTATGGTTTAACTAGAACAACAGCTAAGTGTTTCTTTATATTATTTATGTGAGGGAAAAATGTAGTTTGCCATACTTTACTCTGAAGGTTTCATAAGCAATACTGCTAAGTGAGTGATGACTACAAGGAGGGGCACAGAATAGCAAACTGAAATTATACATCTAGAAAGAATAATTTGCTAAAATAATTCACTTTCATACCCAATGTAAACATTTTAATGATTCATGTGAACAAAGAAACTGCTTATATTTGTAAAAAGATATTTCTAATATAATTAGTATGGAATAGCATATTAAAGATGCAAAAACTTAGAATAATGTAAAGTATGACATAAAACAAAATCCTTTACTTCAGTTCAAATGCACAGTATTTCAAGAATGTTTTCTTCACAATAATTTTCTTTAAAAGGTCGAATGATTTTCAAATAATTTGGCATTAGAATTACAGAGTATCAAGGTATGCAACAGGGATCCCTGAAACACTATAGAAAGACTACAAGTTTGAATGAGTTTCTATAAAATGTGTAGAAGTTATAGAAGCATACTGACTGGGATGGACAAAGTCTGAGGTTCACAAAACTATTGGCATAAAACATTTTGTTTCTAAAATATAATAAATCAATAGGAAGGTTCAGGTTTTAAAAAGAAGATAATTTAAATGTACGCAATAAAACTTCAAGGAAACAAATACTCACTTTGGATAGAGATCCAAAGTCTTGATTATAAAATATGATAAAAACTTTAGAAGAGTTCAAGCAAAGATAAAAGAGTTCTTGACAATGTGCAAGTGTTAAGGCACGTCCTGCTCTGTGAAGTTAGCTTTATTAATAACTTTGTGTAATAATTTTACCTATTCTGTAGATTTAAACAAAAGAATGTGAGCTTGATACCTACATTCTGGTGAGCAAACTAGCTTTTTGTTATTTATAAATTCAAATTAAAGACTGGCTAATAAAAAATTAAGTTAAAACAACTTTGTTCTCAAACCACTCAACATATTTTTACTTTGTAATATAATATAGTTGTCAGATACACTGGTTCTTGGGTGCTTAAATCAAATTGCAATGGGCAAGGAGACCAAAGAAGGGTTTACAAAGTATTTGATAAGCAATGATGTCTGTTCAGTGTGCAGTAAAATAAAAAAAAAAAAACTAACCTAGAAACACAGAAAAAGAATTTATTTTGTTTTTCAATTCCAGAAATAAAAGTAACAGAATAGTGTATAATGTATAACCAGCTGGTCCTATGATTTCTAAACTACAGTCCAAATAAAACATTTAAGAAATAGAAACAATCTACATGTTGTTTTTCTACCAGGTAAATATACCTGAGAAAGTTACCTATAAAGAAATAGGCTTAAAAACTTTTAACCACAAAGACACGTCTACTGCGGCATCATGAAGATGGTCTACATGTGTGACAGGACACTAAGCTATTTCCCACTGAGATTCTGCTCAATGTTCAGATGCAAGTTGTGATCCATCAGTTTGACACGATATTTCACATCAACACCAGCTCATTCAACCAAAGAATCACAATAATGTTTTAAAACCATCTGTTTATATTCAGCATATTAGTAAGTAAAAATCACAATACACAGATGTGGAAATGTTTAACTTGTTCATAAATAAGAGCATGTTATCTCAGCATAAGCTCTTTAAAAAGGTCAAAGCAGTCAGCCCAATAATGGGGGAAGCCAACGCTACATGTTGGCTAACGTGAAGATATGTTAAAATTATTATTATTGTCATTGCCAAGAACTAGAAAATAAAAACAAATTTTAAAATCTAAGAAGTTCTTCTGCCAGCAAAATTACTTCTACTGCAATAACATCTCCAAGCAAAAAAAAAATCAAGTCAGAGCTTGAATGAAATTTGTGCAGTTTCTCTAAAAATGCAGTGCTACTCTGACGTTTCTAAATGACTAGATTTGTAAATAAGCAGTGAATTTCTTTCTATCACAGTTTATTTCTAATTCATCATATGCAGTTATAGATAGAACTAAAAATAACTTAGCTTTTTTAAAACAGTGATTTATTGTGATTATTAAGGTAAACAACAAAAACAAATTCTAAAATTATAACTTTAAATTAACTGGTTAAAATCTCAGATGAGAGCCAATAATTGGTAACAGCTTCTTTGAATTCATATTAATAGTCTAATTAAAAACACTAGCAACTACCTGGCAATAGTTTGAAAGAATCAGAAGGGTTCTGTGAAGAAAAAAAAAGGCAGAATACTCCCCAAAAAACATGATCTTCTTTCTCATTTTATAATCTAAACTTGCAAGATTTTTATAAATACATGTTCATTCTACACAATACAGATCTTCTAGAGCATCTCTAAAGGAAATTACAGTTTTTGGTCTTAAGGAGTAAGACTAAGATGGAAAGGAGGATGAAAACAGTGAAATCTGGGGGAGCAATACACTTTCTACACACAAGCAAGCTGTAGTTCATCCAGTCAATTTAGCAGTTACAGTTCAGTACATGATTTTCAAGGCAACTAAGAAATCAGGACACAGATTATTTCCCTTCCTAGAGTTAACAATTCTTTTAAAAGCGCTGAACTATCCATAAAAGAGTGTTGATTTTTGTTTTGTTTAAAAAACAAAACAAAACAAAGAATAGGGAAAAAAGTTCCATCCTTATATTCACTTACACAAGTTGAACTATAAGCTAGTTTTAGACTACTCAGTGAAATAGAATTGTTGGTACCATCTGAGTCAGGTGCTATCCTACCTAGTGGGTTCAAAAAAGTGATCCAGTAGAACAAATACACATTCGTATGCCTCAAACAACTAGACAGTATTTCATTATTCTTCAAATACCATGTTTAATTAACTCCTAAGGTAATAGACTTATAGGATGTTGTATCTTAACGGTGTACCTGAATCATTACTAGCAATAGAATGTCAAATTCAAAACTGCTATGAAAGTAAAATCCTCATTAGAAAAACTCAACCCTGATGTAAAGGAGGAGAACTGAGTGCAAAATACTGTTTGTGGAAGACAGAGTGAGGAGATAGATGTACCCGATCAAGACCAAACAAAAGACTATACAGAATATGAAAAACGTTAAAACAATAAAAAAAAGAAGAAGAAAAAGTTGAAGGAGAAATGGGCAGCAAAATAATTACCGGACAGACCAAAAATAAGAGAAAATGAGGCATGTGCATATGGCTCTCTTTTTTCTGTCCTTTGTGTTCCTAAATAACTTACAATGTAAGTGGCATGCAGGCCACACTAGCAGGCAAGAATGAGCCTTGTGATGGATAGAGATGAAGGATTTGAGGCTAATGAACTGTTTTGCTTTTTGCTTTTGCTTTTGCTTTTAATTCATACCTGAAAGCCTTGAATCCTTGCTAAATATTCCAGTTGTTTTGAAGGTTGTACTGGAGAACAAGGGGGAGTAGGAGAACTTCCTTTTAAACCTATGGCTTCAGCTGTAGGAGATGTTCCATTCATAAGGAGTTCCCTGGCAATTGTAGCTGAACTATTCGATGTGGGAGATATACTGAAGAAAGAGCTTGAAGGTTGGTTCATATCTTTGGGTGACAAATAGCCTAGAGTAGTGCCAGAGATTACTTTGTGGCGGCTGGCTTCCATCTCTTGATAAACATCAGGAGACAAATGCAGAATTCCTTTTGGAGCTATAAATAAAATGAAGGAACACTGTTATTACACTTAAAATAATCAAAATAGAAACATGTTATAGCATTACGAACTCAATGGATTCACTTGGTATAGTAATGAAGAAATGAGAAACACTGCCAATCAAGCATTTTTCTCATACCTGCATAGGCAATTGTAGAGTCTATTGAAAGGTGAATAATATGTTTAAAATTGGAAGTTTAAAAAAATCCACAAAAGTGGTTTCATTGAGACTTGTGGGTGGTAGTGAAGCTGCTGAAGGACAGGAGAAACTGACGTATGGAAGTTCAATGGGGAAGAAGACTGGGAATGTGCAGTGTCTTCATCCTATAAGTTCATATTTCATATCTCATAAAAGAGGCATTAACCCCTGAAGAGGTGCAGTGATTGAGGCATAAAAAATAAAATGAAGGCTAAGTCAAGACAAAATATTTCTTTTATTCGGAGGTGCAAACCCATGTATTCAGTGGCCCAGTGGTCCTCTTCTCTCCACAGATGTACAGACAATTCTAACTCATGACCATGTCAAAAAGTGACAGAGTATCTTCTTCCCAAAACTAGCATTGCCCCTATCTTGCTTAGCGCAATATGATAGCCCCATTTGGCTGCTTATTACCCAATCTAGACTCCTGACAACCATCTCTGATTCACTCATAACCAAGTAGTTAGCATGCCAAACATCTCTAAAATTTGCCCATGCTGGATGGAGATCATGCATTAGTTCAATCCAGGTCATGGACAGGTTCTGAAGTCAAGAAAAGTGAGAGTGGGGTCATGTCATCAGTTGGTGGAGTTTTATCAAAAAAGTTCTTTCCTTTGACTATCATTTGTCTCAGAGAAGTTTCAAACCACATTTTAAACTGCCTGTTCTAATGTCTTTGGATCAGATATTAATAATGCTCACATCATATTATCTTTTAAAATTATTGACAAGTCATCACTTGTAGAGAATGTGCCCTGAGAGACACAATTCCCTTGCTTCCCCCCCTCCCTTTCCTGCCACTAATCTTCTAACTCAAACATTCTATGTTTCTTACCTGGGCTACTTTAACAATCACTAAAAGATTTCACTGCTGCTAGTTTCCCCAGTGCCCATTTCCCAAAATGTGTTCTATAACATAGTCTCCAAATAAAAGAGTTTCATGATAAATAAAGAATCTGAGAAGCCCCCCAAAACAGAAATCTGTTCAACCTGGTGGGCTTCCCAAATTTATTTTATAGTCAACTCTTTTACATATTTTTAGAGTTCAATAGTTAGGAGGATACAAATCATTTTTAGTCTGTGCTTTAAGAGTACCCACCACCCACACCTGAGCACATTGTACCCAACAGGTGGGTTTTTTTCCTCCACCCCTTTTCCCCCTCCTGCTTCTGAATCTCCAGTGTCTATTATACTCTTCTCTATATCTTTAAATATCCTTAGTTTAGCTCCCACATATAAGTGAGAACATGTAGTATTTGGTTTTCTGTTCCTGAGTTAATTTACTCAGGATGATGTTCTTCAATTCCATCCAAGTTGCTGCAAAAGATATTATTTCATTCTTTTTTGATAGCTGAATAGTATTCTACAGTGTATACATATCACATTTTTATTATCCACTGATTGGTTGATGAACATTTAGGTTAAGACATCTTTGCAACTGTGAATTGTGCTGCAATGAACACACAGGTACAGGTGTCTTTTTTACATAATGACCTCTGTTTCTTAGGGTAGATACCTAGTAGTGGGATTGCTGGATCAAACGGTAAATCTCCTTTAGTTCTTTAGTAATCTCCATACTGCTTTCCATAAACTCCCACCAACAGTGTATAAGTGTTCCCCTTTGTTCACATCCACACTAACATCTATTGTTTCTTTTATTTTTTAAAAATAATGGCCATTCCGACTGGTATAAAGTAGTATCTCATTGTGGTTTCAATTTACATTCCCTGATGAAGAGTGATGTTGAGCATTTTTTCATATGTTTGTTGGTCATTCCTTTTACATAATATTAATAACAATTAACCCTTTGGAAAATGCTGGCAGACAGCTCACTCTCCTCTGACTAATTTCCAATAACCACCTTTGCATTTGCAGATTCTTCTGCATGATCTTGTCTACTGTTGAACCCTTCTAGAGACTTTTTCTGTTCAGTTATTGTATTCTTCAATTCCATGATAGTTTGGTACTTTTTAAAGTTGTGTCTCTCGTTTTTGAAATTCCCACTTTGTTCATGTATTGTTCTTCTGATCTCAGCAAGCATGTTTATGAAAATTATTTTGAATTCTCTGTCAGGTAGATCACATATCTCAATTTCATTGGGGACAGTTTCTGGAGATTTATCTCATTGCTTTGTTTTAAAAAAAAGTTTCTCTATTTCTTCCATTTACTTGATTCTCTGTGTTGGCATCTGCACACTAGACAAAATAGTCACTTCTCCTAGGCTTCATAGACTGGCCCCACACTGAACAAGTCCCAATGAAATCACTGAAAAGACCCTCAATGTGCCCAGAGATTCCGGGGCCTTTTGAACTTTCATGTTCTTTCTCTACTTTCTCTGTTCTTGGCAGTTCTTAGGCATCAAGAGTATGCCAAACCCATCAAGCAAGACGGAAGCCAACTCTTCAGGCAACCTCTAGATAAGTTAAGTCAATGGACACATTGCGCACCTCCCTGTCTCCTCAGAAAGAAGCTGAGAGCTGGAGCTTTTCAACCATTAGTTCTGTGCTGGGTTAAGGAGGGGATAGCTATGGTGACCACCACCACCAGCCACCTCTGTTCTCACTGGACCCAGGTAGCTAATGTATGCCATGTCCTGTCAACATTCAGAGACAGCCTAGACAGAAGCCAGTGCTCTGGGTAGCCCCCAGAAAATTTGGGGTATTGGATGCATGGTGTACCTCTTTCCCTATTCAGGCAGAAAGAAGCAGGGAGATGGGACAGAGGAGGGCATCATCCTGACTGTATGGCACTGTGCTGGAATTAGAAATTACAGCAAGAAAATATCTCAAATTTCCCTACCAGTTATGCCAGGCTGTTTTTCTCTCATCTGAGGTGCAGACACCTCCTAAATGATTTTTTATTTCTCACAGAGTGAACGTGCCCAAGAACTGCTGTTGAAGAGGTGTGTCCTTGGGGCAAACGAGGATCTAGGGCTTCCTACTCCATCATCTTTCCGAGGCTAGACCATTCTCGTACTTAAAGGTCTCTCACTGGCTTATTAGATACACTAGAGAATCCAGGGTGACCTAGAAAGCCTGTAATAATCTGACTCCTACTTGTCTCTTTCCTCATCTATTACATTCTTTATGAAGATCCCATGCTCCATTCATACATATATTCACACTTCTTCCATACTCCAGGTTGTTTGATCCCAACACACCTTTATTCCTAATGCTCAGTTACTCAACCAGTATCTCCCTCGCCGCCCCCCTCTCTCCCCTCAACCGCCCTCCCTAACTGCTATGCTCTAGGCATTGTGCCAACCAATACCATCCTGAACTCAAGTTATGCTCAGTCTATGAGGAGAGGAAAACAGAAACAAGTATTACAATGCAACAGTGCCCTCGCTAGAGATGGGTCTAGAGAGCAGCAAGAATGGGAAAGGAGAAACACTAGGCACTTAGGAAAGGCTTGCTGGAGATGACACTGACAGTAAATGTCAAGGAATGAGGAAAATTTAGCCAAGAAGGAAGAGAACTGAAGACAACTGACCAGCAGAACATGGGCAGGGACCTGGAGAGTTTGTGTCCCAGGAAACCTCAGGCCATACCTTGCCACTAGAGCATAAAGAGGGAGGTGGAACTACAAAAGTTACAGGTAGAAGTAGGCAGAGACCAAGTTTCAAGAACTTCATTCTGATGCCATTAAAGCATAAAAGAGTTTTTGTAAGTTTTAAAAAACTAGTTAAAATAGCTTAAAATAATACAAACGGTCCTCCATATCTATAAGCTTGGCATGCCATCCCTGGATTCAACCAACCACAGATAGAAAATATTTTTTTAAAAAAACCCCACACACACAATTTAAAAAAAGACAATAAAATAAAACAAATTATATAATAACAATTAAAATTATATTATACAATTTATACATATTATACAATTAGTCAAGTTTTTTGTATTTTACTCATGCCTTTATGTTAGACTTCAAATTAAAAAACCAATACAGTATAACAATGATTTACATGGCATTTATATTGTATTAGGTATTCTAAGTCATCTAGAGAGGACTTAAAGTATACAGGAGGATGTGTGTAGGCTTTATGTAAACACGATGCCATTTTCTATCAGGGACTTGAACATTGATGAATTCTGGTATCTGTGGGGAGTCCTGGAATCAGTATCTTGAGGTTATCAAGGAATGACTGCATATCAATCCTATTTTATGCATTTTATTTATGCCTTTATGTTAGTTTTTAAATTCTCTACATTTGTATTCGTTTTTCATAATCGGAAATAAATTTAAATAAATTTTAAAAAAGAAAACATGCATTCAATAAAACACAGATAAATCTTACCAGTCAGAAAAAACTACTTTAAACATTTGGCTTTAAAAATATGCTTTTAGTTCTTTTTTATCTACATACTTTTTCACTGTTGTTATCTTGAAAAAAAACAAGTTAAAACATAGAAATACCATATGATTCTGTTGCTATTTATAAAACAACATACTTCTCATACTAATTTTAAGAGCAAACTATTTCATTATATGAACTATTTCTTTAAACAATTCTATATTATTGGACATATAATTTGTTTCCAGTTTTTTGCAATTATAACACAGTGATGAACATTTTTGTAATTAAATCCTTATTCACATGAAGATTTATTTCCTCAAGTTAAAAGCAGAACTGTCAGTTAAAATGATATGTATTTTAGGTTTTTTGACATTAACGACTTGTCCTCCAAAGATGCTGTACCAAGTTCACACTCCTAGAAATATACGAAAGTACTTTGTTTCCTATTTTGGTATTGGGTATTATTATTTAAAAATCTTTGCCAATTATCAACAGTTACA